CCAGATCCCGTTGCAACCAGTACAGTGCAATGGGGCCGGGCATCCACCACATGCACGTGTGCAGCACATGCACAGCACATGGATGTGTACTTACCACCCGTGGTTCACCGACTAATGCATGCACAACAAAAGTGTGCCGACAAAACCGTGGTGAGAAAACAGCGAGTTTGAAATCGCACCCACAACAGCGCGCCGACAACAGTGCACCAACAAAAGCGTGCCATCAACAAAACGCAAAAACAAGGTAATAACCCTAACCCCAACCCTAACCCTAATCCTAACCCTTACCTTAACCCTAATTGTGGTTTTGTCGGCGCGCTGTTGGCGCGCTGTTGTGGGCGCGATTTCAAACTCGCTATTTTCACGGCGCGGTTTTGTCGGCGCGGTCTTGGTGGGCACGCATTTGTCAGGTCACGACCACCTGCGATGGTCCAGGTGCTCGACAGAGCGTTGCGCAGGTGGTGTATGCTCCATGTGCATGCATGAAAGCCCCGATCGGTTCAAAAACAGGTGAGGGCAGGTGGGTGGGTAGACCCTCCAGAACACTGTACCAGAATGGTACCTGGTGCTCCCAGCAGGCACCAGTACATTCATGTACAGGGGCGTACCAGTCGTATCCCACCACTGGTCCACTAGAACTCCAAGATCCCTCACACAGTTACTACTATTGAGAAAGGTACCACATATACTGTACCTGTGCATTTTGTTTTTCTTGCCTAAATGTAGAACCTTACTTTTTTCACCATTAATAGATTAAGGTGATTATCTTTGTATGAATTGCTTCCTTCTTGGGAAATAGAAATTATTATTACTATACACTCCACTGCAGTGTAGATGAGGAAATGTTTTAACTGTGGATAGTAGAAAGATGCCTTATGCACATAGGCTTATGTGTTTCAGTTTGCATGCTTGTGTTCCTAACTGTGTATATTTTGCAAGGAAGAGCCAGCTTTTAGAGTGAATCTCCAGAGATAGATTAAAAAATTAGGTTCTTTCTCCATTGATTGATAAATCCTTTTGTTGATTAAGACGTTGTTGGTTCTTTATAGCTCCATAGGGCATCAAACATTTAATCCCTATTCAAAAAGTGATGCAGCAAGGATGTTTTTGAACTTTAATATTAATTCTCTGGTGTAGCCATGACAAACATGAGTTTTGCTTATTGTTGACCACAAGTCCCTCTTCAATCCTGTTATGTGGTGAGTATATCTTCTGTACAATGCAACTGGGACTGATGTGAACACTCTGGGCCTTTTCCTTGTAGAAAGGAAAGATTTGTCAAGTATGACAAAATGGAAGTAATAATTGTCTCCAAAATTCCTGTCACATTTTCTCATTCCTATTTCAGTGCCTTCACTAGTAAACCAGCTGTCTGTGTTTACAGGATAATTGTTTGTCACAATAGAAGATGGGTATAGATTGGGTTGTACGGTTTTTATTAGTTCAATATTTGACCTTGATTTGCCTCAAAAGAGCCCTGACATTGCTGAAGCAGGACACCCTTGATAACAATATTCAAAAGATTTTTCTCCTCTTAGTATAGTGCATGTTTAGAAGCTCTCTCCCCTATGCTATTTATCTAGCCAATGCCAATTATACAATTCATAAGAGAATCCTTAGATTCCTTATATTATGATGTTATTCTGTCTTCATTGCTGGAGAGAAGATTTAATACTAGTCCCAGGCAAGGGTGATCATGTACCTGCTCATTGTAGGAAATAGTATCAGTCTCGGATATGTTTTTGGTACTACTCTTTCTACTTGAGTTAGTGTTCTTTATTAGAAAATACAGTAGAGCGTATAAAGCAAATGGTTTTTCTTTTCTTAGCCAACAAAGTCATCCTAATTTTGAAAAGGGATTCCCAGTTCTGCTTTATCATTATAGCCATTTGTTACTTTATAAACTTGTTTAATGATTTTATATCTTTTCATTCATTCTTTGGCCTACAAGTGCCTGGAAAGTATAAACATGTTATTTTGTTATCCTCTTGTTGATTGCAAACCAAATAAACTCTATCTAGATATGTGTGGAAGTGCCCTGTAAATGGCTGCTGGTAGTGGTGGTGAATGGAAGACTGAAGCAGAAATGAGAGTGAATAATGTGTGCCAGCTGATCCAGACATTTTCTAAGATGCACATTGAGTCTCCAAAGCCATGACTAGGTCTCTTTTGCATAACTGATTTATTGAGAGAAAACTAAATTGTGTATGAATGTTTTTAAAGCTTAGGTATAAAGACTTCAATAAGTGGTTTTTTAAAACATTCATTTAGAGCAGGAGTGTCAAACTTGCATCAACATGGGAGCATCATGTGATGTATTGGGACTTTTTCCCCTTTGCTAAACCAGGTGTGGGCATGGCCAGCGCGTGATGCATCTGGCCCATAGGCCGCGAGTTTGACAACCCTGATTTAGAGTAATTGCTGGTTGTTTAGGTCTTATAGGACAAGAAGTGTTGTTTTACTTTACAGC